TTGCACCTCCAGTCATATTGCAATTTTCTGCGTTGTGTACATTTTTTTCTGGAAAAAAATTAAATTTGACCTAAAAAACGTTTTGCCTAATTTTCAGGCCTTGATTTCAAAGAGGGCCTACGATAGAGAGGTGAAAATGCCGCATTACTTTCTCAGCATGCTTATTTATAAAACTGCCAATGCTTATATCAATAACACTTTTCAATCAACACATATAATTGTGCTAACTTCAAAAAAACAAAGTCTCTCTCATAATCATATGGTGGTTTTGGGACTTTAAACCCCACACATATATGTGTGTGTGTGTGTGTGTGTAACACCGAAAGTTGGGCGAGTTGGTGACAGTTCATGATTACAAATAAGCAGCGCACGACGTTTTACAAAAGAGAGACGATAGGGACACCGCTGCACTCTCAACTAGTTTATTTCGTAAACGACCTTGGTTATTATACAACCAAGGTCGTTTATACACCCAAGACGTTAACCAAGGTCGTTATACAACCAAGACGGTGCACGTGGTGCACCGTCTTGTTGTATAATAACCAAGGTCGTTTACGAAATAAACTAGTTGAGAGTGCAGCGGTGTCCCTATCGTCTCTCTTTTGTAAAACGTCGTGCGCTGCTTATTTGTAATCGTGTGTGTGTGTGTGTGTGTGTATATATATATATATATATATATATATATATATATATATATATATATATATATATATATATATATATTCCTGATATAGTTTATTCCTGATGAAGGCCAGACTCTAGGCCGAAACGTCGAAATAAACCACGTTGTGACCGCTCACGGAGGATCTACTAGACTATATATATATATATATATATATATATATATATATATATATATATATATATATATATATATTATATATATATATATATATATATATATATAGCGGGAGTAATAATTCAATGTGCCAGTTAGTATATATATATATTGTAGAGAAGCCGCCGACTGAAATGGGTCGAACTCTCAAGTGCTTTCTAGTGGGTCTACCCAAAAAGAATGCCGCTTGCGCGGAGAGTCCCTGCTTGGCCGTTACTGTCGCCATTTTGTATACTCGCTGTGTGCCGGCTAATAAACGCCATAACAAGTTGGTGGAGGTGCTACGATCCCCTTCGATGCCCTTGGAACTACGCTCACGTACCCTGCAATCTACCATGTCCCACGACGCCTCTCAGCAAACGCCTCCTCCCATGCCACCCACTTGTACTCTGCAACCGTTGCCTTGCCCTGAGCGTCCGTTTGGGCACATAGGTATCGATTTGTATGGACTACTCCCTCTGACGTCCACTGGCAACCGCTGGGCCTATCGTCGCCGTAGATCATTTAACGCGATACGCCGAAACCGCCGCTCTCCCTGCGGCTACTGCGCGTGATGTTGCGTCCTTCCTACTGCATCGATTTATACTGCGCCACGGTCTACCTCAGGAGCTTCTCAGCGATCGAGGCCGTGTCTTCTTGTCAGAAGTCGTCGACGCCATTCTCACTGAGTGCCATTCTGTCCACCGCAAAACTACTGCTTACCACCCGCAGACGAATGGTCTGACCGAACGCTTTAACCGCACCCTCGGCGACATGCTGTCGATGTACGTCGCCACCAACCACACGAATTGGGATACTATACTGCCCTTCGTCACCTACGCCTACAACACCGCCCCTCAGAGCACGACCGGTTTTTCACCTTTCTTCTTGCTGTACGGAAGGCACCCGTCACACACCATCGACACGATACTCCCGTACACGCCGGATCCATCTGAGTGTACACCTATTTCCGAGACAGCCAGGCTTGCTGAAGAGTGTCGCGAGCTCGCCAAGACGTTTACGACGCATGAGCAAGAGCGGCAGAAGAGTATTCGTGATGGCTCTGCCACTACTGAGCCCACGTTCCTTCCCGGTTCCCTTGTATGGCTCTCAATGCCGACCTCTGCAGCTGGCCTTTCTTCCAAACTACTCCCGAAATATGAAGGTCCCTACCGTGTGATCAAGCGCACATCTCCAGTCAACTATCTTATCGAGCCAATGGAACCATCTTCGGACATGCGCCGTAGTGGGCGCGACATAGTCAACGTGGAGCGCCTGAAGGCTTACTATCACCCGCTCGTAGTGACAAGCTGTTAGGTCGCCAGGCGGCTCCCTCTTCGACCTCGGGGTAATTGTAGAGAACCCGCCGAACACTGAAATGGGTCGAACTTTCAAGTGCTTTCTAGTGGATCTACCCAAAAAGAAGGCCGCTCGCGCGGAGAGTCCCTGCTTGGCCGTTACTGTCGCCATTTTGTATACTCGCTGTGTGCCGGCTAATAAATGCCATAACAATATATATATATATATATATATATATATATATATATATATATATATATAACTTCAAGACAAAAGCATGCAATGGAAACTTCTCACGATGATTTTAAAAAAACAATTTTGCTATTTTTTATACTTTCCCCACCTAATTCTCCTGCACATCAGCTTTCCCAATCAATAAAAATACGTTGCATTATATGGTTTCAATAGCAGTCACGGCCCGTCAAAAAATGTCCTTGCGCAAGGATAAGCAACGGTAGATTGAACTTCCTGCCCGTTAAGTATAGAATGCAGGCCTATACTTCAGTTTCTTAAAGAGCAAGCAGCACTGAAATAGCTGTCGACTGCACCTGAGAACGCCAATTTTGAAATGACTAGGTCACAGGAGCAGCGATGAGAGCTGGATTAACGAGCAACCAAGCGCGCACGGTTCGGCCTGTTCCGGGGCAAAGAGGGCTCGTTTTTGTGTCCTCAGACAGATAGGTTGTGATACACCCTGGGATAACTTCCACGCGTGGGAATTGGACCATAGCTGTTTTATCCGCCCTTTGCTCGGATAGCAGCCACATTCTGTTAACATTGCAGACGTAGCCGACATTGTTCGTGCTTTTTGTCTGTCCAACGTAAATGTGAACAAAAGCACGTCTACAATATGTACTAGTATGTTTAAACAAAATTGTCTCAAGCTGACTGATCTAACTTGGGCACAGGAGGATTCAAACGCACGTGTTTGGCGCGTAAACAGAGGCAATCAGCCAAGGTCACAGATTTGCCGTCTGTAGCTCAAGTTCCCCGACCACGTTCAGCGCCCGCACAAGAAACACTTCAAGGCATCGACGTGGAAGTTGAACTTTGACTGCGTTGCCTCAGTGGGAAGCACCTTAAAACTCTTCTCAGGAAGCTGCGAGCGCTCACTTCTCGTACACGAAACCCGAGTGACAGCCGGTTTAGCTAGAGAAACTGTGCTGCACGAATTGATTGATCTCAGTGAAAAGCCATAAAGGTGGTGCTCCAGGAGCCAAATCAAAAAAGAACAAATGCCAAACTATAAACAACCAGGTGCGCCCGCCTATCTCAGATGGCAGCAGCAGATGACTTGTACTGGCCGTGCGCACAGTCCGCTGCTCACACTTTATTTGACTCAGATACTGCTCACGCTTCGCTGTGCTGCTATTTCAGTGCTCCTTGCCTTTTAAGAAACTGAAGTATAGGCCTGCATTCCATACTTAGCGGGCCGGAAGTGTGATTTACCGTTGCCTATGCTTGTGCAAGGGCATTTTTTGACAGGCTGTGACTGCTATTGAAACCACATAATTGCAACATATTTTTATTGATTGTGAAAGCTGATGTGCAGAAGAATAAGCGGGGAAAGTATAAAAAATATCAAAAATGCACTTTTTTTAATCATAGTGAGAAGTTTCTCATTTTCTTGAAGTTATACGTATGTGGGGATTAACATCCCAAAACCACCACATTATTATGAGAGACACTCTTTTCTTGAACTTAGCACGATTTTATCTTATGATTAAAAAGTGTTATTGATACAAGCTTCGGCAGTTTTACAAATAAGCATGCTGGGAAAGTAATACGGTATTTTCACCACTCTGTCAGAGGCTTTCTCTAAAATAAAGGCCTGCAAATCAGGCAAAAAAAAAAATATTTTTAGGCCGAATTTCAGACTTTTCATTAAAAAATGTACACTTCGCAGAGAATGGCAATGTTATTGATTGGAAGTGCAAGTACACATATATTTAGCTAAACAAATGTATGGTACGTAGCAATATATTTTGAGCAATGCATCCACAAGTTTGAAAAAAACAGCAGAGCAGGTAAGCGTGGCACTTCCACTTCTTCGTCATTATTGATTTACTGTGGTTCCAAAAAAATTTTTACAGCAAAATCAATTGGGGATCTCTTCCCTCCACTCATCAGGCAACAATTTATGAAATCTTGAAAGAAATTTAAGAGGTTGACCAGTCATGCTGTGTCCGTGGAATGTAGGGTTTCACGTACCACAATCACAATATGATTATGAGTGACGCTGTGGTGAAGGGCTCGGAAATTTTGACCATCTGGTGTTCCTTAACGTGCATTGACATTGCCCAGTTCACGTACCTCCACCGTTTCGCATTCACCGAAATACAAATGATGAGACCGGGATCGACACTGCGATCTTCGGGTCAGCAGCCAAGCACCTTAGCCACTGATCCACCAGGGTGGACGTGATCAATTCTCATCAAAATGCAAATAAATTTCGATTTACAAAAATGTCAGACATGTGCTTCTGAATAAAATTAATCAAATGTAAGGCTCGAATTCAATGAGCAATTTATTAGTGGTTGCACTCAATTAAAGCATATAAAATTTATACTTTTAAAGTGACTGCCAGAACCCTGCAAGTTAAATGAATTGCCAAACATAGTGCCTTCATCAAAGTAATTGTGGACAGAAATATGTAACAGGTGAAAGGCATATAAAACCACATCATATATGCAAAAGATTCAATTGACCCAAAGATCAATCTCTCTTCCACGAGTTATCAGAGCTGGCAAAAAGAAGTCGTGTTGCCTAATGTGGACACCATGCCTGAAGGGAATACTTTTTCCATGATATGAAAGAGCACAAATTTGAAGACAAAGGCACCAAACAGAGTATGTTAAAAACTGAAACGGGCTGCAGTGCTCACCTTCAACTTTTTAGAAATATTGCTTGGGTGCACAGACGCTGAATACATGCGGAAGATTTCCATGGATGACATGTGCTCTATGAGCCGCTCAGCAAGAACATCACACGCACTGTTGGAAGAAGCCACAACAAGGATATGACTTGATGGAATCAGGATGCACACCTAAAAAATTGAAGCCCACGTTACCATCAAGCATCACCTTGAACGAAGTTAAATGAGCCCATAGATTTCATATACCTGCTTTAGTGCTTCTACAAGAGTCATAGTTTTTCCTGTGCCTGGAGGGCCAAACAAGAGGTATGGATAAGGCCGATGCAAGCCGAGAAGAATGTTCTTCACAGCTGTATACTGTTCTGGGTTGGATTCTATCTTCTTGTTGAAGAGCCTTAGGTAAATGAGAGGAAAAGACAATGTGCCAACTTTAGATCCTGTACCTAAATACTAAATAGGACTCACTTTACTGATACACAAATTCAAATAAATTATTGCAATCACAGCTCTGAAGATACCAGGACAAGGATGGGCACAACTTTTCTATTGAAAACAAACAATACTAACACCAAAACAACAAAGCATGGCAATACATTACACATGCAGAAAAACAGTGCAAATACAGGCAGTTTTATTTCTACTGAGCGCAACAGATGGGGTGATGATGCAAGATGACACTGCTTTTTGCAATCAAATTTGCTTCCACAATTTCTTGCAGACATTTATCTAAATTTCTTTCTATACATAAAAATGACTGAAATTTCGTCAATAAATGGTTCACAACCACAGTTATCACAATGCATCAGTGTTACACAACATTGGTAATGAGAGAGCATCAGGTAGACGATGAAGACTGCGAATGCGATCGCACTCGTGTTGTTGTTGATGTTCCTCCATCTTGGCTGCAGCTGCCTCTGACTCTCCCAGTATATTTTGTAAATATATTTATTTCATTCATACTCCCAACCCTGAGACATTTGGTGGTGGTTCTGCGTATGACACGATATACCCCCGTGACACCAGAATACAGGGTCTGTCCCAAAAGCTCCCGGAATTTTCCCCAGTGGTTAGCAACACTGCCCGGCCGGGTGGCACTCCAAGTGCAGAAGTTAGAGGGGGATATAAGCTTCAAAACACGTCTAATTTCCGTTGCCTGTGAGCAGTTGTTGAAGCGGGCCAAGCTAATGTGCAGAGGTATCTACTGCACTCTCGTCGAGCCATACAATTTTTGGAGCGAGACAATTTTTGGAGCAGTGTCATGCAATCAAGTTTTGTGTGAAACTGGAATAAAAACAAGGCAGAGATGCTCAAAACGGTTCAGAAAAGCTATGGTGAAGTTGAAATGACACAAAGGCATATTTTTATATGAAAGAAGAGGTTCTGAGAAAGTATGGAGTCTGTCAACAATGATGACCGCTATGGACACCCATCGAAATTGAGAACGGACGACGCGGTGCAGAAGGTGCATCAAGTGTTGGATAAGGACTGGTGATTAGTAAGCGTTCTAATTATCGCAGAGGAGTGTGGAATGACCAAAACAATCATTCATCGTGTTTTGACAAGGGTTTTCTGATAACGAAGTCTGAACAAAAAAAAAATGAAGCTAGAAGTCCTGACGAGTGAGATGAAGGAGGAATCACTATGCTGATTAGCTGCAGGCCAAAACGGGTGTGGCAACACTGCTCCAGCCATCATATGGCCTCAATCTGTCACCACCAGACTTCTTTTGTCCCCAATGATCGAAGGAACTCTGAAAGAAACTCTGCAATCACGCTGAAGACGGCAAAAGCATCTTCGACGAGCTCTCTGAAGGAGATTCTGGTTGGAGGCTTCCAGGGCACCTACAGTGATTGGATGAAGTTTAGGCAACAGTGCATTAAACCAGGGAAAGAGTACTTTGAAAAGTTGAGAAAAGATTGCCAACTTATACTGGATTAATTATTTACAAAATAAAAATTTTCAGATCTTCTGAAATAAACTTTGTATGGCCATTCCAGTATAGTCACATATTTTTCCTGTGGTCCTTTAATTCATCATCCAGACACCTTCAAGACTACTCTATGTAAGCTTTGCCACTTGTAGATATAAGACACCTGGTTAGTTTATGGTCTGAATGGCAGATTAACAGAGCAGGGGGACAGTGTCGGATGGTATCAGGATGCCTACACTTCTGTGTACTGCGATGACTGTGGTTGTGAAGCATTAGGAATGTTCAGTCTTGGCCAGTAATGCAGATAAATGTGCGCGTGAAATTGTAGAAGCAAGCCTGATTGCCAGCGCTCCATTTGTTATACTGAGTTGAAATTGCCTTTCCTGACACTGTTGGCCTGCACTGTGCATCTTCCAGCTCAGCTGACGGCAAAACATGGTTACACTTACGCTATCCTTGGCAGCAGTTATATAAGTGTATGTGCTAAAACTAAACGATTTTACTAGCAGTAAGCCTCAGATACACAAATGACCTGCAAGCAGAATGCCTAGTTCTACACTGACTTGACAGAATGTGGCTTAAGACTGTAGCTGCCTAGGTAACGCTAAACACAAACTGAATGAGACAATGTACTGGCAGTCAATTTTAACAACACATAGATAAGAACTGAGCATGATCCACACTTCCGAGGCCAGCTTGGGCTCGCCGACTGCATCAATGGTTCGCTCATATAGCTTTGAGCCTACCCAGTCGGGCCTGACATAGAAAAACAAAAGCCTAGGCCTAGCCCGATGTGACCCAACACTATGTACGTTTGCTGTGGAAACGAGATATCACTTTTCAAGAATGAGGCATTTTGTTTAACATATCAAAATGAAACATAAGCAAATGACATGTGACAGTCACTATGTACACGGACCTTGAGATGTGTCAAAATAACAAGCTGTCCGATGATTCAGGCTTTAGTGAACTGTGGCGTTCCTGTATCGCATATTCCGTCACTCTGAAGTTCCCTTCAGTACTCACACTGGTAGCTGAAATTGCCAATAGACCTTTTTTTCGTGCATGCCAAGGATAATATTTTAGACTGCTTGTTATTCCAGAATTTTCGTACCTCCTAAGCAGAAGAGGGGGATGATTCCATGGATAGATAATCAAAAGGTAATCTTGTATGCTCATCGGTATGTGCTGGAAAAACATTCCGGTACAGTGTCAATGTTTCTTACTGGATAAAGGCCCGGCCTATGGGCCGGGCAGGGCTCGAGCTTTCAGACTACCCGAAGCTTGTGCACAGCTCTGACATACCAAGGGAAGGATTTACGAGACCTAATTACTGATAAAAATGAGAAAAGCTCACTGAAGTCGGCGAATGTTCAGGCTTGGCTCTGACGACGGGGCACACTTTGGAAGAACAAAACTCCATAAGCTGGCATTCTCAAGCAGCCCCAGAGCCCGGTGCATCAGTCGCAAAGCAAGCCGGTTGAAAGTGAACCGCACATCAAACTTCATTCCTTTTATGTACAACTTTTTAAATCTGAAAGATAAACACACCATATTGGATAATGAAATCTCAAAATACACAAAGAACAGCAAAGATAAGATAAAAAGGAGTTGCATGTATGTGTCCACACAAACATGGTTTGCAATACAGCATCATGGTTTATGTAAAACAGCTATGACTCACACAAAACGCAACCTAACAATTTTCAAGGATATGGAAAGCAAAATTCCAGTTTATGTATTTATTTATTTATTTATTTGCATATTTATTTTAAAGAATTTTAGAGGTCCCAAGAGACACAGCATAAGACTCTAAACAATGGATGAATGGCTAGTTTATTTTTATGCATTCACAAAGCGTTTCTGGACAGTCACCTAGGCTTTGGCAAAACTGCCAGTTCAGGGCCTATGCAAAGAAATGTCAACGCTATGCCATAAAAAAAAAAATCACAGCATAATCACGGAGTAGATGACAATGAGTTGGGCGAAGCTTGGGTCCGTCCATTCATCCATCCGTCCGTCCATCTGTCTGTCTGTCTGTGAATATGCTGTGCTGGCTATGCCGGAGGGATGGACTGTCCTTGACCATAAGGAGCTTCACACCTAAAAAAAATTACATCATCTCCCGCTAAAGGAAAGCATGTGTGGATGCGAAGCAGTGGTCGCTAACGCTTACACTGGTTGCAGCGTTGATACTGGCACTCATCGCGCCGTTGCGCAAGAGAAAAACCTGGGGAGGCCCAAAGCACACAGCGATAGACCTGTGTTTTCTACTGGAACATAGGCGTATCAGCCAAGGGGGCAAGGAAGGTGCGAGCCCCCCCCCCATATTCGACAGTGTCACTCTTGGCTGCACGCTGGGGAAACCAACAAGTAAGACATAGTTTTCCATCACAACAGTAATCACTCAATTATGTTCTTACGGGAGAATGAAATTGTTACGAGGCTATGTTACAACCTAGTGAAGTTTTGCCTACATTGCAGCTGTGATGATTTTCCTTTTAGGTTCTTATATACATATCCCGGCTGACGAGTGAGGGTAGGTTCGCCCCCCCCCCTCACAAAAGAGTTGGTAAGCCACAGTACTGGAACATGCCAATCGTTGCTGATGGGCAATGAGACGCAGAGACCCACAGTCTGCTTTTAGTCAACGCGCATGTGGCAAATTTTTATTGTTTAACAACGCACAGAAGAAATCTCCCACCGGCACTACCTCGGAGGTCAAGATCCAGTGCCTATATACCTACACGGGGTGGCCAGTGAATGGTTGCGCAGTGTGAGGAGTGGATTTCTTTTTTCAATCGAGAAATACTAGCAAGCAGACTCTGTCTGCATCGGCGTTGAGGGGCACTGTAGATGAGGAGATAGTAAGGGAGGGGATGTGCATGCACAATGGGGTGTAAATACTACAGGGGAGGAATGCCATGAGAAAAGAGAGGGGGGAATGAGTATAGGCTAGCAGACATTGTCGGCATAGCGAGACAAAAGAGGGGGCGGCTTAGGAGAGGAGAGAGAGGGGGAGGTGACAAGCATGCGCATTGGGGGGGTAGACGCTGCAGGACAAGGAACAGAAGCCCCCGGCATAATAACTACACACATATTTGAAATTTTCATTTGCAATAGCAATTATAGGAATACTCCCGGTGAAAATCCCTCCCGGTGAATACTCCCTTTGTACCAACCACAATAAGTGCATCAGACCATTCATGTCACGCTGTGACACTTTTAAATATTCATTCTTCCCGTCAGCAGTGGAAGAGTGGAACAAATTGCCACGTGAATGCGTTAATCTTTCCTCTACAGATTCATTTGTTCGGAATGTAGAAAGCCTGTTTTATGAAGACTAAAAGCAACTTTTGTTTTTTTTTTTATGTTTGTGAGCGCTTCCGAACACACTGATCACTGTACCCCCTGCTGATACCTCGATGTTTTGTGACCTGTCCATGATTTTGTACAATTGCTTTCATCGTTCAAGTTTTATTTTCACCATCATCTTGTGATTCTGTTTCTTCCGCTATGTGCGATTATGCCTGGTTTGTACGCCACTGTGTATATTTGCCCGCCCACCCTGTATGAGCCTGAGAAAGGCTTACAGTATTAAATAAATAAATAAATAAATAATAAGAAGAAAACTTGTTGATGGGACTGTTGCAGTGGTCTGAACAAGGTCAAAGTGTGAAAAGATTCTACCACACCTCACCGGCGATACAAATGAGAGAAAACATTCAGGCGCACCACAATTGTGTACAGACTGGGAGCAGGGAGATGGTGAGAGCGTCAGAGCAGAGAAGGCAAGAAATGGCTACATGTGAAGCACGTATCCCCTCCTCAAGTCAGCAAGAACTTGGACAGCCAAGTAGCACGAAAGGTAAAAATCAGCCCGTGCAATTCCACAGGCTGAATAAGCCGGTCACTTCATTTGACTGCTTCTATTGGCCCTCTCCACATATTCATACTACAGCTCACGTCATCTTATAAAAGAAAAAGATAACTTACCGTGCTAGCTGACATCTGCTAATGCTATTCACCACGCCACCGTTGTGAAAACCAATGCTTATGGTCAGTGAGCAACATGCTCGTGTATCTCTGTGCATGCAGGCACCATGCTTGTTCATTCAAAGGGACAGATAACCAATTTTAACGCGACAGCGTTAAAGAGCTCGTTTCGCAGAAATTCCGGCGTCAGTGTCGTTGGTTGCGAGCAAAAATTCGTCATCTTATGCATGACTGAAAAATCAAGAATGATGCAAATAAAATAAATAAACGATAAAAAGCTCTGGAGCAAAGTGGGGGACCAAACCAGGGTTGTTGGGGTCCAAGTGGGGATTGATCCCGGGTCGATTGTGTGGCAAGCAGATGTTCTACCTCACGGCCACACCTCTGCTTGTGAAAACAATGAAAAGAGCTTCTTCTGCTAGAAAATGCAGTGAGAGTAGCTTCCATGCTTCACAAACGTGCCCTGACCGTGCTTGACGTGATTCTTGCAAGACTGGCTTCCGAGTAAGCTTTCCCCTTCTTGTCCCAAACGGGGGCAATCTTGGGAGATTATTTAAACTTCAACCAAAAGTTTTAGAAGAAACCCGACGTTTTAAAACTGACTTGGTTCCTTCCTCAAGCAACATTAACGGCTCCGCTCGTGAACCGTGTGAACGAAGGAGTCTCTTTTTTTTCCCGTACGCGGGTCTTCCGCGTTCGCCTTCGCAGAACTCACTGCCGTTGTTAGTTGACGCATTGGGAACATTGCACTCTGCAGCAGCCGCATTAGCTGAGCTACACACTACACACCGCTAATGGTTGCCTCATACTAACTCTTGTGTTGTAGTCAAATTCATAACAATGCAAAAGAAATTGATTGGCCCTACACTCAAACCTCATTATAACAAAAATGCATCTTACACAAAAATAAGTTTATTATATCCAAAAAAGCATTGAAAATGTATATAAAAAATTTGAAATTATGTCTATTCCAAGACTATTGCATCTTAACATATCTAATGCAAGACTACTCTTGATTTACTTCATTGCAACCAATATTTTGTTTTATCTAAATAATTTATGTAGAGGTTTGAGTGTATTCTGAACAAGCAGTAATAATAATAATAATAATAATAATAATAATAATAATAATAATAATAATAATAATAATAATAATAATAATAATAATAATAATTGTAGGGGTTTAACATCCCTAAAACTGTCAAAAATTAGGAGAGATTTTTTTTTTTCAATCCGAAATAACTCGGGAGAAGACACAGGATGGATCCAGTAAGTTTGAGTTGTAGTCAGACATAACTTTAGTAAGCTGGTTTGAAACATCATTAACTAATTATTTAGGTTGTAGCACATGTATCATGACAATCGCATCCTCATCCTCAGGAGCGTAAGCATGCACAGAGTTCCCCTTCAGAGGGAGGGGGGAAGGTTTGCCGCAGCTCCCCCCTCTACATGGTAAAGCATGTCAATGTAGAGGGCTACCTTTGTACCCCCCCTCTCACCTTCCCTGCTACCCCTCCCAGGCACACGCCTATGCTCAGGAGATAAAATGTGCTTTGGTCCCATGAGCACCCACTAATAAACCATCCCTCACAATGCATATGGATCTCCAGCTGTTCTCCATGATCCTGTCAGTAGCTGAGGAAATGATAACGAATAGCTAACGCTAGTGAAAAGAAAAAGAAAGGGGCCCATTAATGGCCCCTCATGTGCATATGTCTGCCTATAACTTGTTGATCATTCTCTCAGTGTTTCGTAGTTCCTTTTTATTGAAATTCTGAGGGTGCTTTTGAGAGTTCATTTCTGGGGAGAAATCCAGAGTTCGATGTTTAATTTTGCCTTATAAGATGGTGCAATATGTTATTACTTTTATTTTCGATGAATATGCTTTGCATTGTTGCTGATAATCCTCTTTCTCCATGTTTTTAATTTCTTCACAGGTTCATTCACCCTGCTAATTAAGCTGTTGTTTCACACTGCTGTAATGTCGCCAAAATGTACTTTTTATGGGGGGGGGGGGAAGAGGAGCTAGTCAAGCCGCTTCTGAGCTTTCTCTCAAAGTTTCCCTTACCTTCTTCACAAAAAATAAAGGATTCATTATTATTATTATTCTCAGTGCACCAAAATCTTAGATTAAATGATATCCATACATGAGAAATACACTAAGTGTATTTTATTTAGATGCCTGAAAGGTTCGAACACACACAGACATACAAGCACAAATATTTGAAAACACAGCATCTATGTTTGTTTGTATCACAACTTTAAAGCTTGTTGTAATAAACACGAGCATATATTACAAGGTTGCTGCCGCTGATGGAAGTGTGCTCCTTCGACTGAGAATTCTCAGGTTTGAAAATGTCTTTTGAAATATGAAAATGCCCCTTTAGAAACATGGATTATCGAATCAATCCAAATTGTCAAAAATTTTACTGCTGCCTGGTTATCGAATTTTTTCTAGATTTATCCAAAAAACACGGAAGTAACTGGCCAAGAATAAGTACAAACACATTGTTGTGAAGTATCTGTTTATGAGGATTT